CTGCAGTGAAGTTGTGCAATGCAACATGGGAAAACACTGCCAGAAACACCTTGGATTCTTTATGCATTTGATTTTTAATTAATTTTTGGTTGTTGCCCATTCAGAAACCTTTACTATTGCCAAATTTTCCCAACTCCATATGGGATCATAACCCACAGTTTAAGAAGCGCTGGTAGGGCCACACAGTAGTAGTATGTGTAGATTTTAATCTTATGCTCCCTGACTCTGAACTATCCACTACCCAACATTGACTCTTGTTATTACCAAGTGAATTTTATAATCATCATCTTCATCAATCAGCGGCATAATAGACTATCAGAACTAGGAGCTACTTTAGAAGTCATCTGGTCCCACACCATTGTTTTATAGAAAAGAAAACCAGATGAAGCCCAGACAAATGAAGTGACAGAGAGGCGCTAGTGTCTATGGCAAAGAACCCTGGACCTTACGGACAAAAGGTCTAGCTTCTGGTCTTGGTTCCGATAAGGAAAAGCTAGAGGACCATAATCATATAGCTAGATACTTTTGCTTTTCTTGGCCTCACTTTCCTCACCTGTAAATGAGGAAATATAAATAAATGAGGAAATTGTAACCTGAAAGTGCAATTTTAAAAATCTGTACAAACATTTCTATAGCAACATTAAATGTAATTACAAACATAGAGCAACAACCTCAATGTCCAACAACAGGGGAATGACCTAATATATTGTGGAACATGAATGTGATGATATGCTCTAGTGTGACTAGGATTGATATGTGTGAGGCACATAAAGCAATTCTGGAAAGATCTATATGAAGAACATAAAGTTGGAAAAAAGCAAAACTGAAAGAATGGAGGGTCCAGTAACTATGACTGAGAATGAATAGACAGAAAATCTTTTGGAAAGTGTTCCATATATATATCATCTCATCTGATCCTCACAACAACCCTGGGAAGTAGGTGCTATTATTATCCCCATTTTATACATGAGAACTGAGGCAAATAGAGGTTAAGTGACTTCTCAAGGTCACATAAATAATTGATGGTAGAGCTGGATTCAAATGTACATGTTTACAATTATATAAGCATTATTTTTAAAAACTTTCTTTTTTGTTTTTTGTTTTCTGTTTTCTTTTGTAATATGGCTAGTATGGAAATTATGTTTTTGTATGACATTATGCATAATCTATATCAAATTGCTTGCCTTCTCAAGGAGGGAGGAGAAAGGGGAGAGAAGGAGAGAATTTGGAACTCAAATTTTAAAAATTTAAAAATTATTTTCACATGTAATTAAGAAAAAATAAATAAAAAATTAAAAATATTATACATGTCACATGTACATATACAAAGATAATATGATATTCAGACCCATGTGACCTTCTATGGAACATTCCTACATGCATATACATATGAATACATGTACATCTACATGTCAAACATCCTTTGCAGCATTGGATTTTTTTTAAATAAATTTTTCTTGATGTCTTTTGCTATTTTTTATATCATCATAGTGTCCTCCAGTATACTTTCCCCTACTTCTTCCCCTCATAGACTGCCATCCCATATAACAAACAGTGTTTTTTAAAGGCAAAAATAGAAAAGAAAGAAAAGAAAAAAAAAGAAAGAAAAAAATCAGTATAACAGATCAATACATTGAAAAAGTCTGAAAATGTGCAGCACTTGTGGACTTTCTACCTTCATGAAGGAGTGAGTTGGGGTGTTCTCTCATATCTCTTTATTCAAATCATACGCTTCTTTCTAATTTTACTATATTCACTTTTGACTTTGTGTGTTTGTGTATGTAGCTGTTCTTTCCATTTACAACATTGTAGATATATATATATATATTTGGCTCAGTTTACTTCACTTTGCATCAATTCATATAGATTTTCCATGCTTTTCTGTATTAATCACTTCATCATTTCTTATAGTACAGTAATATTCCATTATATTCATGTATCACAAATTATTTAGCCACTCCCCAACTGATGGGCATCTACTTTGTTTCCAATTCTTTGCTGTCATAAAAAGTCTTGCTATAACTATTTTGGTCTATTTGGAGACTTTCTTATTATTAATAGCTTCCTTGGGATATAAGCCCAGTGATGGAGTCTCTGGGTCAAATGGTAAGGACATTTTGGTCACATTGTTTGCATAATTTCAAATTGCTTCCCAAAATGGTTGTTCTAATTCACAGCTCCACCAACAATATCTAGCGTATCTATCATCTCACACCTCCAAAATTGATTATTGCCAATTTGGGTCATCTTTGTAATTTACAATATGTGTAGTCAAACCTCAGGGTTGTTTTGATCTGCATTTCTCTTATTATTAGTGATTTGGGGCATTTTCTTAAATGTGGCTGTGAATACTTTGCAGTTCTTCCTTTGAGAACTGTTCATATTCTTTATCACTTAAATATTATGGAATTATGACTAATCTTACATATGTGTATTAGTGGTTTATATATCTTGGATGCCAAACCTTTATTGTGAATTTTGATATAAAGATTTTCCTCCCATTCAACCACTTCCCTTCTTATCCTAAGTGAAGTAATGTTTTTGCAGAAGCTTTTCAATTTTAAGAACTCCAAGTTATCATTTTATCTTGTGTAATTGCCTCTTTCTCTTGTTTGGTTAGGAATGCATCTCCTGCCCATAACTGTGAGAGGTATATTATCTACTTCTAATTTTTTAAAATAATATGAGCATTAATATTGAAGTCACATATTGGTTTAGTATGTATGGTGGAATATGATTTCTGATCCCACGTTGTCCATTCCAATAGAACTAGAGGAACCATTTCACTTCTGTCTGTGTATCCTTAGCATCAAGCATAATGCCTGAAACATAGAAGACGATATGTCTTGATTAATGACTATGTACATAGCATTATCAAATGGGGAGAAGGGCAGAAATAGTCAAGTAGAACTGCAATGTAGTGGGAGAAGCCTTGGATTTGGAGACTGAGGATGTGGGCTTCAGATTTGGGTACTGCTACTACTTCTGGGTGACCTTACAATCAGTCAACTAGCATTTATTTTTCAAAGTTAATTAATTAATTTTTAGTTTTCAACATTCACTTTTGTAAGATTGTGAGTTCGAAATTTTTCCCCGTCCTTCCTCTCCTCCCTCCCCAAGACAACATGCAATGTGATGTAGGTTATACATGTACAGTCGTACTAAATATATTACCACATTAGTCATGTTGTAAAAGAAGAATCACAATAAAAGGGAAAAACCACAAGAAAGAAAAAACAACAAAAAAGAGAAAATAGAATGTTTTGTTCTGCATTCCATAGTTCTTTCTCTGGATGTGGATAACATTTTCCATCATGAGTCTTTTGGAGTTGTCTTAGATCCTTGCATTGCTGAGAAGAGCTAAGTCTACCAAAGTCGGCCATCGCACAATGTTGCTGTTACTATGTACAATGTTCTCCTGGTTCTGCTCACTTCACTCAGCATCAGTTCTTGTAAGTCAGCTAGCATTTATTAAGCACCTAATATGTGTGAGGCACTATGCTAAGTGCTAGTGATACAAAGAAAGATAAAAAGAAAACCTGAAAGTAGCTCACAGTCTAATGGGAGAGACAACATTCAACAACTATGGACAAACAAGCTATAGAAAGTTTAAATTAGAGATCATCTAGGAGGGAAGGTTCTAAGATTAAAGACTGGGAAAGGCTTCTCGCAGAAGATGGGCCTTTAGGTAGGTCTTGGAAGAAGCTAGGGAAACCAGGAGGAGAAAGAGATGAAGATGAGTTCCAGGCATGGGGGACATCTAGGGAAAATGCTCAGGCAGGAATGGGAGTGTGAGGAACAGCAAGGCAGCCAGTGTTGCTGAGGGTCCATAAAGTGTAAGAAGATTGGAGTTTGGGTACCAGGTTATGAAGGGTTTTGAATGACAAACAAGATTTTATATGTGATCCTGGAGGTGATAGGGGACCACTAGAGTTTACTGAGTGTGTGTGTGGAAAGGGAGGTGCTGGTGTGTGACGTTGATCCTGCACTTTAAGAAGGATCAATTTGGACAGTTGAATGGAGGATGGATTGGAGTGGGGAGAGACTTGAAGCAGGGAGACCAATCAGTGGACAAATCATTTAATCTCTTTGTGCCTCAGTTTCCTTATATATAAAATGAGAAGGTAAGGGTGGATGACCTTTAAGATACCCTCCAGCATTAAATCCTATGATTTCAGAAGTAGATGGCTGACATCATTCCACTTTCAGGAAGAGAACATGGACCTTAGAACAACACAGTCAGAGAAAAAGTAAAGTGAGGGGATTTATTCATGCTGGAGGCTTCACCAGGATACAGCCTCTCTGCCAGAGCTAAGGGAAATAGCTTGGATGAAACATAAATTGAGTGCATTTGTATTTCTGCCTAGGCCTGCAGTTAGAGTATCTGTGGAATCTGGAGTCCAAAAGAGGAAATGGTGTTCTACTAATTAAACCAATGACCAGAGAATGTGAGGGTATAAGCAGAAATTCCAGGTGAGGATCAGGAAGGGGTACAGTTGCATGCCCGTGGTGTCCTGAATTTAGTTGTGTGCTTTTTTTTTTCTTATATAATCACTTGACTTTCCTTGGTCTTTGGTCTCCTCATTTGTAAAATGAGAGTGTTGTACTAACTGGCTTCTGACATCCCTTGCAATTCTAAAATTATGACATTGTACTGAGTGGGATCTTCTAAGAAGTCTGTATGAGTTCAAGGTCATATGCTTGTGCTGTTCTGGGGCCCACACTTGGTTTACCACAGAATATGAGAAGTAAATGAAGCCCTGTTCCAAGTTCAGCCTTAAGCTGCCTTTCTGCTTATACCAGCTGAGCTCACTCCCTCCTCCCCATCCCAAGAGAGTGGTGCCTAGTGTGGGCATTAGTATGGTCACAAGCTCTTTGCACATGGTGACAACTTAATGAACCAGAAACTGACTGTATTCCTGAAAGAATCCCTAACCCCTCTTAGAAGAGCAGTTGTAGGAATTCATTCCATATTTCGTGTGTTCACTTTCTGGTTTTAGGAGACTAGTCTGACAAGCTGCTCATAACAGACTTCCATTGCCAGGATGGACCTCGGTGACAAATGGACTTTGGAGGAAGGTCATAGGTTGGCTCATCCTGGAATGCACCATTTTGCCAGTTCAAGGGCAGGTAGGGTAGCTTTTCACTTGCCTAATCCACCTGCTGTTTTCTCTCTTCTGGTCATGCTACTCTAGTGCTAAACTCTCAATCAGAGGTTCTTAAACTTTTTTGGGGCCATAGACTCCTTTGGCTGTCTGGTAAGGTCTATGGGCTCTTTCTTAGAATAATGTTTTAAATGTCTAAGATAAAATGTATAGGATTAAAAAGGAAACACTTAATTGAAATATGGTTATCAAGATGGAGGTGGAGCCAAGATGGCGGAGTGAAAGCAGTGACTTGCTTGAGCTCTCCTCCAAACCCCTGCAAATACTCATAAAAAATGGCTCTAAACAAATTCTGAAGCAGCAGAACCCACAAAAAGACAGAGTGAAACAAATTTCCAGCCCAAGACAACCTGGATGATTGATCAGAAAGGTGTATCACACAGGGCTGGGAGTGCAGCACAGCATGGGCGCGCAGCCTGCCTTGAACCTGGAGCAGGCCTCAGAGGACTGAATCATGGGCAGCTGTGGCAGTTTCCAGACTCCTCAAAACCACCAATGCCAAAGACAACTTAGAAGATCAGTGGAAAAAGTCTGTTTCTGTCGGTGCTGAGAAAGGAAGGCGGGTTTCAGCTCCATTCCCCAAGAGCTTGGCGCTGGGGGGGCAGCTGCTTCCCCGAGCTTCCGGCCCACAGACTGAGGGGGAATCCAGTGGCTGATCAGAGAGGGATTGCAGGGATGTCTTTGCCAGTGCTGAGGCAGGAATCTCTTGCTTTGCCCGTGTTTGGATCTGGGCCTCAGTTCTGGGCGGTGGTGCTGGGGTGAGGAGGAGTGCTGGCTTGGTGGAGCTTGTAGCGATTGTGGAGAGGAGCCCTTCCTCACAGTTACAGGACAGAAAGGAGTACTTGTGGTCACAGGCCAGGAAAGGAGTAAACACCTTGCCCCTTATCATACCAACTTGGAAGAACTGAAAATTTGCAGGTACCTACAAGTATCTCTGAAAACAGCTGTACAAACCCCTGAACCTTGGGACAATACATTCTCCACATTGGAAGCAGATTCGTACCTCAACAAAGAGTTTAAAACTCAAGTAATTGTTCGGGATCATGAGCAAGCAGCACAAAAAGAGTCAGACTATATTATCTTATTTTGGTGACAAAGAAGATCAAAATATACAACCAGAAGAAGACCACAAAGTCAAAGCTCCTACATCCAAAGCCTCCAAGAAAAATATGAATCAGTCCCAGGCCTTGGAAGAGCTCAAAAGGGATTTGAGAAGCAAGGGAAGCAGAGGAAAAACTGGGAAGAGAAATGAGAGTGATGCAAGAAAATCAGGAAAAACAAGTCAACAGCTTGCTAAAGGAGACCCAAAAAAATACTGAAGAAAATAACACCTTAAAAAATAGCCTAACCCAAATGGCAAAAGAGGTCCAAAAAGCCAATGAGGAGAAAAATGCCCTAAAAAGAAAAATTGGCCAAATGGAAAAGGAAGTCCAAAAGATTACTGAAGAAAATACTTCCTTAAAAATTAGAATAGAGCAATTGGAAGATAGTGACTTTATGAGAAATCACAACACAGTAGAACAAATCCAAAAGAATGAAAAATTAGAAAACAATGTGAAATATCTCATTGGAAAAACAACTGACCTGGAAAATAGATCCAGGAGAGAGAATTTAAAAATTATTGGACTATCTGAAAGACACAATCAAAAAAAGAGCCTAGACATCATCTTTCAAGAAATTATCAAGGAAAACTGCCCTGATATAGTAGAACCAGAGGGCAAAATAGAAATTGAAAGAATCCACAGATCTCCTCCTGAAAGAGATCCCCAAAGGAAAACTCCTAGGAATATTATAGCCAAATTCCAGAGTTCCCAGGTCAAGGAGAAAATATTACAAGCTGCCAGAAGGAAACAATTCAAGTACTGTGGAAACACAATCAGGATAACACAAGATTTAGCAGCTTCTACATTAAAGGACCGCAGGGCATGGAATATAATATTCCGGAGGGCAAAGGAGATAGGATTACAACCAAGAATCACCTACTCAGAAAAACTGAGTATACTCCTTCAGGGGAAAAAATGGTCATTCAGTGAAATAGAGGACTTTCAAGCATTCCTGATGAAAAGACCAGAGCTGAATAGAAAATTTGACTTTCAAATACAGGACTCCAGTGGAACATGAAGAGGTAAACAGGAAAGAGAAATCATAAGAGACTTATTAAGATTGAACTGTTTACATTCCTGCATGGAAAGATGATATTTATAACTCATGAGACCTTTGTCAGTATCAGGGTAGTGGGAGGGAAAAAATTATGTGTGTGTATATGTAGATAGATAGATAGAGGGCACAGGGTGAGATAAGATTAAGGGGTCATATCTGGAGAATAAAGTTAAGGGATGAGGGAGGATTATACTCGGAAAAGAAGAAAGGGAGAGGTAGAATGGGGTAAATTATCTCACAAAAAAAAACCCAGAAAAGAAAAGTCTCTTACAATGGAAGGGGAAATGAGGGAAGTGAGAGGGAATGAGTGAATCTTATTCTCATAGGATTTGGCTTAAGGAGGGAATAACATACACATTCAATTGGGTATGGAAATCTGTCTTACCCTACAGGAAAATAGGGGGAGAAGGGGACAAGAGAACAGGGGGATGATAGAGAGGAGGGCAGATTGGGAAAGGGGGTAATCAGAAGTAAATACTTCTGAGAAGGGACAGGGTCAAAAGAAAGAACAGAATAAGTGGGAGGGCAGGATAGGATTAAAGAAAACAGAGTTAGTTTTTCACAACATGTCTACTATGGATGTTTTTTGCATAACTGCACATGTACAACCTATATTGAGTTGCTTGCCTTTTCAATGAAGGTGGGTGGGGAGGGAGGAAGACAGAAAATTTGAAACGTAAAGTTTTAAAAACATGTGTTTTAAAAAAAAATGTTTTCACATGCTACTGGGAAATAAGAAGTATAGGAAATGGGATACAGAAGTCTATCCTGCCCTACAGGAAAATGAAGGGGAAGGGGATAAGAGAAGGGGAGAGAGATAGAAGAGAGGACAGACTAGGGGAAGGGATATTCAGAATGCATTCCATCTTGGGGTGGGGGGAGGGGTGAGAAATTTGGAACTCAAAAACTTGTGGAAGTGAATGTTGAAAACTAAAAATAAACAAATTAATATTAAAAAAAAGAAAAAAATAAATAAAATAAAGTACTGTTATAAATAAAAAAAGAAATGTGGTCATCAAAATATTTTTTTAAATGTTTACAGACTTTAGGTTAAGAACGTTTGTTTTAGAGGTTCCAACATTAGTAAAGCAAAGAATAAGACTACGGTTGGAGTTGGAAGATCTGGATTCAAATCCTGTTTCTGCCACTTACTAGCTGTGGGTCTGAGTACCTCATATAAAGGGATTTGAGCCTCAGATTCCTCATCTTCAAGACAAAAGTGATTATACTTGCCTGACCTGCCCGGTAGCATTTTTACGAGGAAAGCATGCTAGATCTAATTAAGGGTTATGTGGCAGTGGATAGAGAGCTGGCTTTGGGGTCAGAGTCCTTTCTCTGTCACTTACTGGCTGTGTGGCTCTGGGTAAGTCACTTTAACTTCTCAGTGCTCTAGACAATTCTCTAAGAGTCTGTCTTTCAGAGAAGGTGCCAACTTGCATTGGTAGAGGAAATTTATCACCAAGAGCTCCCTGCCTCAATGAAATCATTATTTTAATTTGTTTTGTTTTAAGCCTCTATGGTGCCATGTAGGCAAGTTATTTAAACTCTGAGCCTCAGTTTCTACAACTACAAAATGTAAGTAATAATAACCACCTAGGTGATGCAATGGATAAGATGCTGGGCCTGGAGCCAGGAAGATCTGAGTTCAAATGCTGTTTCAGACACTTTCTAGCTATGTCACTCTGTCACACTTAACCTTTGTCTGCTTCAGTTTCCTCATTCATAAAACAAGGATAACAACAGTATCTAGCTCCTAGTGTTATAAGGATAAAATGAGATAATATTTATAAAAACAAACAACTTTGTAAACCTTAAAGTACTACATAAAAGTTCTTATTATTATTATTAGGTAATTGGGGTTAAATGACTTGCCCAGGGTCACACAGTTACTAAGTGTCAAGTGTCTGAGTCTGGATTTGAATTCAGGTCCTTCTGACTCCAGGGCCGGTGCTCTTTCCACTGTGCCACTTAGCTGCCTCTGCTATTGTTATTATTTCAAAGAGTTGTAAGCATCAGATGGGAAATATATACATATATGTGTGTATATATGCTATAAAGAGCTACATAAGTTTTTGCTGCTGTTCAGTTACTTCAGTCATGACCAACTCTTCATGACCCCCTTTGGGGTTTTTGTGACAAAAGTACTGGAGGAGTTTGCCATTTCCTTCTCTAGCTCATTTTATAGATGAAGAAACTGGGGCAAAGAGGGTGAAGTGGCATGTTCAGGGTCATACAGCTACTAATGTTGGAGGCTGGATTTGAACTCAGGTTCTCCTCACTCTACTGCTGGCATTCTTTCCACTGTGCCACCTAGCTGCCCATAATACACACACACACACACACACACACACACGTGTGTGTGTGTGGTGTGTGTGTCCCTGAAGCACTTCTCAAAAATGGCCTTCCAGATAAGTTGCTACGAAGGCTGAGAGGATCTCTCATACATTGCATTGCTGGACTATTTTCCTTGAATCAGCTTTTCATTAATCAGAAAAGACCTTCTCAGGAAAAGTCCATAAAATTCTATTGTCTGTAGGACACTGTCTGTGGGAAGGGAATGCTTGACTGTTAAGTATTTTAGAGAAGCACCATGGTGGGTGATGAAAATTGAAATGGATTGGGAGTCAAAGGCACCTGGCTCTGCCACTGATGATGATGGTGATGGTGATGATGATGCTAGCTAACATTTATATAGTACCATATATACTGTGTGCTAAGTGCTTTACAATTATCATCTTATTTGATCCTCACAACAACTCTGGGAGGTAGATGCTGTTATTATCACCATAGTTGTTGAGTTGTTTT